CTGTTAAAAGAACAATAATAGACAATAGATTGGGATGCTTAATTACTTTTCATTTTTAATTAGAGAGGAAAAGAGCAGCTATTTATATTTCCTAAGGTTTAAAATACACTTTAATGTATCCCCTTTGCTCAACAGTCACATAGCTCAAATATCATCCTTTTAGAGACTAATTCATACTTAGTTATTAGCAAAACCATATATATTCACAATACAAGCAAACTCAGAACAAATCCCTTGATTTTATGAGTCAGCGCTTTTTTTTTTTAATGGTCATAGTTATTTTTGCACTGGGGCAGATATATCAAAGTCCAAAGCCTGCCTTAAAATAGGAAAATTAAGATGCACATGGTGGTTTTCACCTGGTACCCCAGAGTTTATACCTGGTCTACCAGAATTTGGGAGACAGGCAAAAAGATTACGAGTTCAGTGGTGGCAGATGGCTTTAATCCCAGCACTTTGGAAGGCAGAAGCAGGCAGATGTCCATGAGTTCGAGGCCAGCCTGGTCTATATGTCCTGGTCCAGAGAAACCCTGTCTTGAAAAACCAAGAATTCAAAGTCATCCCTAACAAATTACTATAAGTTCAAGACTAGCTTGAGACCCTGCCTCAAATAAATCAAAATAAAAATAGAACCTGTGAGATGACTCAACCACAAAGGCTCTTTACTACCAAGCCTGACTCTGAGAGAACTGATTACAGAAGTCTCCTGATCTCTAAAAGTGTGCTGTGGTATGCACAGATTTAATACTAGATGAATCATGTATGAATGCAGCCATTCCTAAGATTCTTCATTCTCCAAACTAAAATTATTTCATCTCTGAAAATACCTTTTTTTTTCCCTTGAGACAAGGGGTCTCTTCATAGGTACTGTAGCCCAGGATGGACTTGAACTCAATCCTCATGCCTTAGCCTCCCATGAACTTGTAGATGTGCTCTACACCCCTGGAAGATTAATTACTCTTCTCTTTTCTAATAAGGTTTGACTATGTAGATATAGACAGGCAGATATAGAAACTGAAACCCTCTTGCCTCACCGTCCCAAATTCTGGGATTATGGGACTCTCTCATACCTAGCTGTTTTTTCTACTTAATGTTATACCCTATATGAAACTCTTCTGTACTGTACAGATTTGTATGTAGTAAATCACTTATTATAATATGGTTTCCCACTATAATTAACCTAATCTAGATGAACTACCCAAAGATATACCCAGAGATACTGTTCCACGGTGATTCTAAATCCCATTGAGTGGCAAGATTAAATGACACAGGTCTCAAGCATTCTGTAATTTAGATAGATACATAGATAGATAGATAGATAGATAGATAGATAGATAGATAGATAGATAGACAGACACACAGACAGACAGACAGACAGAGGGTTTATTTTGTGCTTTCTTTTGACATTTCTCTGTGTAGCCCTGGCTATCCTGAAACTCACCATGTACATCAGGATGACCCTGAACTCAGAGATCTTCCTGCCTCTGCCTCCAGAGAGCTGAGAAAAGGTGTGTGCCACCATCACCCAGCTGGTAAAGGTTCTTTATTTATTTTAGATAAAAGGGTTTGTTGGGGAGGGGGAGTCAGATTTAAATTACAGGTACTTTCAGCCAGTCTATGGCTTACCTTTCTACATTAATAGTAGACCTACAACACAATTTCTTAATTTCATAGGGCAGAACTGTTTTATTATTTTTTTTTTTCTTTTGTGGTTAGTAAACATTTTGTAGGATGAATGATCTTTTTGTTTTCGTGGTGGTAGATATTGAGCCTCAGGCCCTGTACACAAGCCTGGTAAATACTCTTCTACTTCACCACATCCATAGCCCTTTAATTATCTTTTAATATCATTCATCTTCTGGCATGGTGATGCATGCTGGTAATCTCAGTACTTTCTGGAGGCAGAGGCTACAAGACAAGATCCTATTTTTATTTATTGACACTGCCATAATTGTATATAGTGCACTGTGATAACATCTCTCTCCCCTTGAAAGCTGAGTAGAGAAAAAGCATTTAAAACAAACACAAACAGACACACACACACACACACACACACACACACACACACACACACACACACTGTGATTCTACTCATTCAAACTCCACAACCGGGAAATCTATATAGATAGATTAATTGCTATGTTAAGGTTAGAGGGTGGAAAAATTGGACATTTTAAGGGCACAAAATTTTTTTCTAAAATAATGAAAATCCTAAAAAAAACTGACTTTGTTAATAGATACACATATCTCACTAAACTAAAAACTCAAATGTACACACAAATGGGTGAACCATATAGTACATGAGCTGTACCTTAACAATGCTGTTTAGAAAAATCAGGTACAGCCAAGCTTGATGGCTCATGCTTGCAATGCCAACACTTTCGAGGCAGAGACAGAACTGCTGAGAGTCTACAGCCATCCTAGGCTACCTACATAAATGAGACCTTCTCAAAAAGACTAGCAAGATGGCTCAGTGGGTAGGATGCTTGCTGACAAGCCTGATGACCTGAGTTTAAGCCTTAGCACCCACATGGTAGAGACAACCAACCCCCATAAACTGCACACACACAAAACAACAACAAACAAACAGGGCTTCCAGGTGAGATAAAGGATTAGAAGCCCCATTAGTGTGACGGTAAAAGAAAACAGAACAGCACAAAATGTCTATTCCTACAAGAGACAACTGCTATAAAGAATTTATTAAGCCAGGTATAATCTTTGTAAAAGCAGGCAGAAACGACTGTGACTGGTGTCCAGCTGATCAGTAGAGCTCTCAACGTTAGCGGCAACCATGAGGTATGTGTCCCCCTACTATCACCACAGTAACAGCTAGACTACCAAGGGCTAGGCACATCTTTGGAAGTAAAACCAAGACTAAACACCCTTAAGATCAGTTTTATGAAGTCCATGACACAGCCGTAAATGGGCTCTCCCCCTCTCCCCCTACCTCTCACTCTTTCTGTCACCCTCTCCCCAACACACAAACACACACACACACAAACACACATGATAAAAAAAAAACAAACAAAACTTTAAGATAGAAACTAGCACACTGGATTAAAAACAAGAACCATTTTATTTACTGCCTCTAAGAAATGAATCTCATCAAAGATAGAGTAAAACCTTGGAGTGAAGGGATAAAGGTATTCCAAACAAATTGAACTTAAAAGTAAGCAGATGTCATTGTTGATCTGACAAAACAGAGTCTGAATTCAACTAATCCAGAGAGATAAGGAAAATCACTTCATAGTGATTAAGAAAACAATCCATCAAGAATACAACTGCACAGAACATGGGTGTGCCCAGTTTTACATAATACTAGACCTATAAGGTTAGAGATTAACTCCAAAATAGTAAGTGAATAACACCAACATCCTACTCTCACCAACCAGCCCATGGAACTTTCTCTATATCAAGGCACAAGTCTTAACAAATACAGGAAAACAATTTTTGCCTTCCAGATAAGAATGGAATAAAATAGAAATCAACAGCTATAAAATTCACTATGGAAACTGAAAAACACACTATCAAATAATGGATGGGTCATCAAAAAATATCAAAAATAGGCTGGGACCAAGCTTCAATTGGGCAAGTACTTCCTAGCATGCACAAGGAACTGGATTTTAAGACCCATCAATGCATAAACTAGACGTGGTGGCATAGACCTGTAATCCTAGTACTTTGGAGGTAGAAGCAAGAGGATTACAAGTTCAAGGTCTATCTAGCAAATTTGAGGCTGGGCTGGGCCGAGACCCTGTCTCAGTAACACCCCCCCCCCAAAAAAAAAATTCCTAAAAATCAAATGAAAATTCAGCATACTAAAAACCTGTGATACAATAAAAGCAGTCCTAAGAGGAGTTTATACAAGTACCTGCATTATAAAATCAGTGGGTAGACATAATGCCTCAGCAGGTATACACACTTGTCACCAAGTCTGTCAACTTGAGTTTTATTCTTAAATGTATGTAATACTAGAGGGAGGAAAATTATTTTTCCAAGTTCCCCATGCGTACACAGGTATGCATGCACATACACACAGATTTTTTTAACTTAAAAATCAAGGCTGCAGAGATGGTTAGGTGGATAAGAGTACTTGCTGCTCTTACAGAGAACCTGGGCTCAGTTCCCAGCACCCACATCATCAGGTAGCTCACAATCACCTGTAACTCCACTTCCATAAGAGTCAACTATCTCCTCTGGACTCTGTGGGCACTATGCCTGAATGTGATATGAGGATATATATGCTATATATGTGGGCAAAATACCCACATACATTATAAAACAAACAAACAAACAAACAAACAAACAGGGCTCATCTATTTGCTGCATCCAAGAAATGTGCTTCACCATCAAAGACAAATGAAACTTCAGAGTGAAAAGTATGGAAAAAAAACATATTCCAAGGAAAGAAAAACAGGAAGTAAATGTCTCACACTGCTAACATCTGACAAAACAGACTTCAAAGCAAAAGGTAAAAACCGTCTCTTCATAATGATGAGGGAGCAATCCACTAAGAAGACTTTACAATTTAAAGATGTACACAGAACATGGGTACACCCAATTCATACAACAAATGCTACTAGGTAAAAGATCAAATTAACCCTAAAACAATAGTGGTGACATTAATATTCTACACTCAACAATCAGGTAGGTCATCCCACCAAAACAAGTAACAACAAACACTCAAATGTGGAAGGGGAGAATCAATTCCACAAAGTTGTTCACTTAGCTCTACACCACCTGTACTGTGGTGGGTACAACTATGTACATCCTGATACAGAGAGAGAGAGAGAGAAAGAGAGAACTTAAAAATAAAAACAAAACCAGGCTGCAGTCAACCATGCCTTTAATCCCAGCACTCAGAGGCAGGCAGAGTTCCAGGACAGGGTGAATTGTAGGACAGCCAGAGCTACACAGAGAAACTTTGTCTCAAAAAAAGAAAAAAAATCAACTACATAAATAAATAATTTTTCAAAGTGAATAAATTATAATAAAAAGTA